CCGTGGCCCCGCTCTCCCCGGGGGCCAGAGCGCCGCACCGCCCCCCTCCAGGTGCTGCCCCAAGCACGAGCTTGGTGGGCTGGTGCCTGGAGCCAGCCCTGCCCTCCACCATGTCCCTCATCCTTAGTGTGAAAATTTCCCCAGCTTCCCCATTCCCCACAGATACTCACCTCCTGACATCCCGCTCCGCCCAGCCACCCAGCAGCCTGGAAAGGAAATGGGTTCTTAGGGCCCAGATCCCAGAGCAACTGGATCCTACACCCTGGGCTCAGATCTGCTGCCCCCCGCCACTCCATGGACACACGCCCTGGTCTCAGATTCCCCCCATGGTCACAAGCCCTGGTCTCAGACCTGCCCCCCCACGGGCACAGGCCCTGGTCTCAGATTCCCCCCATGGACACAAGCCCTGGCTGTCTCCGATACTCACCGAGGTAGAGGACAGTGAGAACAGATGCCAAGATGGGGGCAGGGAGGGGCCCTTCAGTGCTACCACCAACGTCCCGGAGCCCAGCTCCACCGAGCTCCAAATGAGGAACTCAGCTGGTGGTTGCAGCTACAGGAAGTCGATAACATCTCCTCTCTTCCTGCCTCCATCCACCTTGTCTCTAACCTGCAGGTTAAATCTAGAGGAGTCAAAGTAAACAGAAGTCCCTGCAAAACCCAGGAAGTCTGGGGACGTCAGCCTGGACTAGTGTCATGTTGCTTGCAGCTTGTCTTTGTGATGGGATGCACACTACCCTCAATGTACTGTGCAGCCTGGGAGAGGGAGAAGGTGCACTGGGCTGGAAGCCAGGAGGCCAGAAGGTCTGGTCTTCAATCTTCGGCTGACCACTATTTCCATGCAGATTCCCCCTCCCCCCGTTCTTTCTTACATTCTGGGTTCAAACCTGGCTGGTGACCCATGTAGGTAAAATGAATACGTGATCATGCAATTAAAGGATGGCATTGTAGTGCATGTGAATGAGGGGGCAGAGTTAAGGGTGTTTGGGAAACCATAACTGTGGCATTTGCTGATTCTGGAGGGTTTGACTCTGCAGCCTTCCCTCTCAGCTTGCAAACCTGCCCACATGTGACATGAGCCATGGCACCGTGTGAGGAGTGGGTGCAATGGGGAATGCCTAAGTTTGCTGCGCCTTGTGCCAAAGCTGAGCGGTGATGTCGGCTTTACACTGTAACGCCTGGTTCTAAGGGGCTTTTCTCAGTGTGTGAATTAGATAAACCAGGTTCAAAAAAAATCAGAGAAATTCCATGCCAGGCCCCCAACAGGTCACCAGCTGGGAGAGACCCAGGGACCTTCTAATGCCCCCGCAGAGACCCTGCCCCCGAGCTGGAGGAGACACTGTCAGTGGTTATGTGGCCAGGCCCCTAGAGAGGGACGTGACACAGGCTTTGTTTATACGCCATTGGCTAGCGGCAGGAGGAAGCTGGGGGTCAGGAAGGTTTGACTCTGTGCCGGGCTCTGGCAGGGGAGTGGGGACTAATGGTTAGAGCCAGGGGTGGAGGTGGGGCTAGGACTCCTGGTGTCACCGTCACGGTGTCGCTCCTCTGGTGCTTGCACACGGCGCTGGGCCGGGCCAGGGGTGCATTAAAGGTGCATCAGCTGCCCAGCCAAAGGGTCCCAATGAGCCTCTTTCAATCAGCCCCCTCGTACCAGGGCCATGACCACCTGCTCACCAGCCCCCCGGGAGCCTTTGTCCCCGGCCCCCAGAGCAGGAGGGAGATGAGCAGCAGATACATTGTGAAGTAGGGTCATCCCCCCCGGCCTGACTCCGCCCCCCTGGTATGACTCCCCCACCCCTGCCTGTCCCTCCTCACAGCCCCCCACTAACCATGGCCGCTATCATCCTTTGCTCCCCAAGGGAAGGAAGCCCCTGGCTGCCCTCAGCTAACATGGCTGCCCCACAGCATTCGCAGGGCAGGCCAATGCCTCAGCCTGTGGGGGGGAACAATCTGCCCCCCCCAGGCTGGCTAGAGGGGCAGGGGGAGGAGGAGGGGTGAATGTGGGGTTGGGCCCATTATGGGGCAGGGAATGCGGGGCAGAGCAGAGGAAAGGGACCGGACAGAGCGGGAAATCCAGTCAGTAAAGGGTTAGTCATCAAGTGCCTGGCCCCACAGTGCCCTGGGCTCCCCACAGACACAGTTGGCCCTCTCCCTGTGACACTGTATGGAATTTGGGGGACATGTTAGGATATTATGAATACCAATATTGTAAAAACACAATGAGTTATGATATGCCATGTAAGGTATCTGCAAAAATGTTATAATTTGCCAGGTATGATAATCTCGTTTATGTGTTTGTATCACCTTTGTATTGTAAGTTATATGGACGCTATGTCTGTGGTTCTAAACTTGTGCTGTGCGTCTGGGTGACCCCCGCAGATGGCTTGGCATCAGCTCTGGCTAGCCTGCTTCATGGCCCATCAAGGGCCATCAGCTATGTAACGGACCCATTGAGAGAAGGCAGATACATCTTATGACTCAGCAAGGCAGGCAGGGGCTGCCGATGGACAGAACTCTAAGGCAGGGGTCGGCAACCTGCGGCATGCGTGCCAAAGGTGGCACGCGAGCCGATTTTTACTGGCACACTGCTGCCAGCTGGGGTCCCGGCCACTGGCCCCACTCAGTCCGCTGCCGGCCTGGGTGAACGGAACCCTGGCCAGCAGTGGGCTGAGTGGAGCCAGTGGCCAGGACCCCGGCTGGCAGGAGCTGGTGGACGGAACCCCAGATCGGCAGTGGGCTGAGCGAAGCCGGCGACCGGGACCCCAGCTGGCAGGAGCTGGTGGATGGAAACCCAAACCGGTAGCGGGCTGAGCGGGGCCGGCGGCCAGGACCCCCACTGGCAGGAGCTGGTGGACGGAACCCCAGACCGGCAGCAGGCTGAGCGGAGCCGGTGGCCAGGACCCCGGCTGGCAGGAGCTGGTGGACGGAAACCCAGACCGGCAGCGGGCTGAGTGGAGCCGGCGGCCAGGACCCCGGCTGGCAGGAGCTGGTGAATGGAACCCAGACCGGCAGCGGGCTGAGCGGGGCCGGTGGCCAGGACCCCGGGAGGCAGACGGAAACCCAAACCGGCAGCGGGCTGAGCCGTTCAGCCCGTTGCCAGTCTGGGGTTCCGGCCGCCGGCCCCTTGCCAGCCGGGGTCCCGGCCATTGGCCCTGCTCAGCCTGCTCCCAGCCTGGGACACCAGCGTTCAGCCCCGCTCACCTCGCTGCTGGTCTGGGGTTCCATCTGCCCGGGCCCCTGCCAGCTGAGGTCCAGGCCTCCGGCCCTGCTCAGCCCTCCTGCCGGCCCAGGGTACCGGCAGCCAGCCCAGGGCTCTGCTCCCGGCCTGGTCTCAGCGCTCTGCAGCCCTTATAAAAAATTACACTACAGTTAGCTTAAAAATGTGAAAACTGAAAAACTTTGTATATTACAGTAATCGTTACAACATGTATAATGTTAATAAATCCATAGGTTCGATGAAACAAAGTAGTTGTACTTACGTGCCCGTGCTTAATTTGTGTTTTCAATGATTTACCTTCTAAAAAACTCTCGCCTGTCTCGCACGCCCAGAAAGGGCACCTCGCACCCCCAGGGGTTGCGTGCATCCCAGGTTAAGAACCACGGCACTAAACTGATAAGATCGGCATTTTAATTTAATTTTAAATGAAGCTTCTTAAACATTTTAAAAACCTTATTTACTTTACATATAACAATAGTTTAGTTACAGACTTATAGAAAGAGACCTTCTGAAAATGTTAAAATGTATGACTGGCACGCGGAACCTTAAATTGGAGTGAATAAATGAAGGCTCGGCACACCGCTTCTGAAAGGTTGCCGACCCCTGCTCTAAGGCCTCCAGGCCATGGGCTGGGCACCTTCTGTTTGGAACAAAAGAAGCACAAGCCACATGGCATGAGACTGTAAAAGGCAGCTGCATCTTCTCCGTTTTGTCTTCAATCCTGCTCCTTACCTCTGGAGGAAACTTTCTACAAACGAAGCTCTGAACAAAGGGCTGAACGACCCATCCAAGCTGGGGATGTGATCCAGAGGGACTTTCAAGCCAGCAAACTCACCAAGACTGCTAGGAACCTGATCTATGGACTTTGGAGTCCTTGTATGTATGTGACTGTTTTACCATTCAACATCTTTCTTCTTTTTCTTTCTTTTCTCTTTATACGAATCCTTTCGTTTTAGACACTAAAGGACCAGCCGACAGCCTGGTATTCTGGGTAAGATCCAAACCTACATTGACCTGGTAACGTGACCGACCCTTTGGGATCAGAAGAACATTTTGTATGTGAGCAGAGTTTTTTAAATAACTTCTCACTCTACTGGATCTAGGTGCTGATGGGGCCTTGCCAGGAGCGATCCCTCAGGGGAGGCTGCGTCCTGCTGCCCTGGGGGGCTAAGCTTCAGCTTCCCTGGCCAAGGGGTTGCCCGGGTGGGTGATCTGCCCCTTAAGCCACGTGGCACCCCTGTAGCACCCTTCTGTCCACCCCACAAGTAACTCTGCCCCGGGTGTGCAATGAGCCCATTCCTGGGGTATCTCGGCTCCTGCCAAACACAGCCAGGCAGTGCGCGCTGAGGGAGGCTGGTATGTTACCCGCTGCCTCCCATGTCCCGGTGATGCCCAGGGCCCAGCCAGATGCAGCAGAACATCTATTGGGGGGGGGTCGGGGGTCCCCTAAAACCCCAGTGCGGGGAGGGGAAGCAAGAGCAGAGGGAATTCTGGGTAATGCTCACTCCTATTGCCAGGGGGATGTCATGCAGCCCAAGAAGGTGGGTTATTGCCCCAGGACTCAGGCACCCAGCTGGGCCCAACCCCACAGCCAGGTCCCCCAGATACTGCCCCCACCCCTGGGATGCCCCCAGCAGCTTCCGGGCAGTGACCTGCAGGACGGGAAGCATCAGAGGATCTGGTGGTCAGGGAAGAGTGAGGGGTTGCCCCCCCCCCCGGTGTCTGGGCCCATGAACCAGGAGTCACTACCCCTGTCCCACCCAACCAGCCCCAGCTCCCAGGGTGGCTCCTTGGGCACCATGAGCCTGTTTCCAGGGCTGGTTCTATGGTGAGCCCCCCCTCCTGGTACCCGGCCTGGCTGGCGCTGTTCCAGGCTGGGTTGGGCTGGTTCCCCCCGCGGTCGTTCTGCACCTGCTCAACCTGGGTTTGAAGGGCTCCTTGGTGCTCTCCAGGGTTCCCACGTTTGGTTTCATGAGCCCCGGGAGCAGGGGCTACACCGGGTGTCCCAGGATCACTCTGGGCATTTCAACATCCCCCACTGGAATCTTGTGGTGCAGAAAGGAAGTCCCTGTTTGCAGCTCTCTGTCCAGGCCGGTGTTCCTGACGATGTGAGCGTCATGCCCCTTCCCGGAGCACCCCGCGCTTGGGTCAGTGAAACGCCCACGGTGATCCCCAAGTGCCTGCAACACCCTGGAGAAGTGCCCTTCCTACTGATGTGTCCGTCGCAAGATGGTCCGGGGCAAAAACTGGAACCTGCGTTGCCTCTATCGCCCCGCTGCAGTTAGGGAATCCCACTGCGCAAAGCCCCTCCGCTATTTCACGCACATTGCCAAGGGTCACGGTCCTTCGTAGCGAGATGTGATTAACGACTCCACGCGCTAGTGTTAACGCGGCACCCGCCATCGACTTCCCCACTTCCAGCGGATTCACGATTGGCCAGGAGCAGCCTGAAGTCACCAGCGTCCACACAGCGATCACCGGGCACTTCTCCGCGAGAGGCTGCTCTCATTTGGGTGTCCTTGCGCCGCAGGGCTGGGGCGAGCTCTGCACACAGGTCCAGGGAGGGGGCTTCCTGCATCCGAACGTTCTGTAGCCGCAGCTCATCATCCCAGACCGGGCGACTGGTAACTGCAGATAGTGGGGACGGGGGGGCGCAATGATGGGCTCCCCCCACCACCACCACCACGGTCAGCTTCCTGGTGACTGCCAAGGCCCCTCCAGCAACACCCTTGTGACCACAGCGCCTGGGCGGTCACACACCTCGCCCAAACTTAAGGCCGGTCCTGTCGGGGTTGTCCTTAGGGGAAATGGCGCCCTATGTGAACTTGTATTTTGGAGCCTTGGCCCCTGCTGCCTCCCCCAGCCCCCCACCCTCCATATCACCCCTGGCCCCCGCTTGCCTTGACTCCCTGAGCTCCTTTCTGCGTACCCAGGCAGGCTAGTCCAGACCCACACTCGAGCAGGTACATACATTTCCCTGCTGGCTTAATACTTAGTTCACCAGACCTGTGTCACCCATGAAATTCTCACGGGGGCCATGCTGCTCCAAGGCGAGGAAGGGATGGGACTCAGCCGGCTTCCCCGTGCCCTCTCTCGCAGAGAGCTGCGCTGCCAGCCCGGTCTCATTTCCCAGCTCTGGGCAACACCTAGCGGGTCTCAGCGGGAGCGCTCGCTGCTGGTGCCTTTCCCACGCACATGCCAACTCGCACCCTGGCAGAAATCTGTGGGGGGCATTTGACCCCACGTGCCCCCCACACATGTCACCTATCCCAGACTTGCATAACAATATGATCCCACCACTCAGCGCTTGTTTCCCGAGCCCCAAAGCGACGCTCCGCCGTGTGCAGCCGCTCCGTGAATGCCAGGAGGAAGCTGATGTTGTTTCTTTCCATGGCACAGAGCAGCTCGGGCAACTCTGGTTCCTGTTCAGACTGGGAGCTCATGACATACTGCCTGGCCAGCCGCGCTGCGTTCACAGCAGTGGAGAGCCGCACCATGGGACACTGAGCCCCACCCCGATGATGCGCTGTGATCCACCCGCCTTCCCACAAGCCCTAGCTGCAGAAGGTGCCAAGTAGCATGGTGGGATAGCTACCCACAATGCACTGCTCTCACTGTCAACGCTGGAGCACCAAACGTGGACGCGCTCTGCCGGCAGAGGAAGCGCAGTGTGAACGTGCAATAGCGATGTTATCATGGCGCTTTTTGCCGACAACACTCTGTAGTGTAGACAAGGCCCAACCGTCAGAGGAGCGAAGTTCTGGAGCAGCCTCCCAAAGGACATAACTGGCTTCAAGACTGAGCTTGAGACGTTTCTGGAGAGACGGGATGAGGAGATATCCCACAACGGCATGGAGCCGATCCGCGACTACTAGAAGCAAATCTCTCTAATGGCCGGAGACGGGACACTCACTGGGGAGGGCTCTGAGTTACTACAGAGGTGTCTGGCGGGTGGGTCTTGCCCACATGCTCAGTGTCTGACTGGTCGCCGTATCTGGGGTTAGGAAGGAATCCCCACCCCACCCCCAGGTCAGATTGGCAGAGAACCTGGGGGGTTTCAACTTCATCTGCAGCCTGGGGCGCGGGGCACTGGCAGGTTTAAATTTGTGTCACTGGTGGATTCTCTGAAACTTGACGTCTTTAACCCATGATTTGAAGCCGTCAGTGACTCAGCCGGAGGCTGGGGTCTGCTACAGGAGTGGGTGGGTGAGGCTCTGTGGCCTGCGATGTGCAGCAGCTCAGACCAGATGATCGCAATGGACCCTTCTGGCCTTAAAGTCTGTGAGTCTGTCGCCCCCTTGGGGCTGGTGCCCCATGGCTGCGGGGGACTCTCACTGTGGGGTCCCCTGGCTCACGTTGATCACGGCGTACACGCTGTGCTGGGCAGGCTCAGGGGCACGGGCCAGGCCCCCCCGCTTGGCCTGTAGTGCCTGGTCGTCCAGCTCGACGTAGGTGAGTCCATCGGTGCCGGGGTCAGGCTCCTGGTGGTGGGAAGGGACAGAGTGACTCTGTGTGTGTGTGTGTGTGTGTGTGTGTGTGCACCAACCCCCCGTTCACACAGAGCAGGGCTTGTCCCCTCCAGCAGGGGGTGACAAGACACACATACACACACACACACACACCTGAAATCCCAGCTGACGATCCCATAAGCCCCTCCCAGCAACCCGACCCCGACCCCAAAATACTGAGTGTGCCAGATAAGATGAGTGGGGCCCATATGGGTCAGGGTTGGGGGTCAGGGCATGCGGGCAGACAGGGACACTTACCAGGGTTGGCGGCTGTTTCCTTTCGTCCATGGAGGAGTCTGCAGAACAGAGAAACCCGCTGAGCTGCACCCCCAGCCAGCCCAGAGCAGAACCCCACACCCAGCTCCGACCCCTCTGTCCAGACAGGGGGCTCAGAGACCTGCACATCCACCTCTCCCCCACCCCACAGCATGGGGCATGGTCATTAGCCCTGTGTTACAGAGAGGGAAGAATACTGAGGCACAGAGACGGCAGCAGAGTCTAGGGGGTTACAGCGGGGCAGGGGGGCTGGGAGTTGGGATGCCTGGGTTCTCACCCCGGCTCTAGGAGGGGAGCGGGGTCTAGTGGTTAGAACAGGGGGCTGGGAGCCAGGAGTGGATGGGGATTCCCTGCAGGTCACTGGCTGGGAAGGCCCAATGGAGAAATGAAGGGGAGACCCCCAAAGCCCCAGGCCTGGGATGGGAGAATGGGGGGCACACGGAGACACTCAACTAGAGGGGGAGGGGAGGGTGGTCCCCAGGGAGTTGGTGTGGAGGGAGGCAAGAAGCTCAGCTGACACCAGCTACCTCTGGGACCCTCTCCTTAGTGCCACCCAGCAGCAGGTGTAATTCAGGCCCCGCCCCGTATGGGTGGAGCCCCCACAAGCCCCGCCCCTCTCCTGGGGTCATGCCCCACCCTGGTACCCCCTTGGGTGTGTTACTCACAGATGGGGTCTTGGTGAGCCGGGGCCTCCAACATCCCCGAGGGGCTGGTACTAAAAGAGAGAAAATCTACTTGTAAATGTCATATTCCCCCACCCGCAGGGAGATTCCACAACACACCCAGAGAGCCCCCCATCCTGCCTCACACTGAACCCTGTTCCCTAAACCCCCTTGTCCTAACCACTAGACCCCACCCCCTGCCAGAGCTCGGGACAGAACCCAGGCAGAGGCGACGTGTGTGGGAGGGGGAAGCAGGGTCACATGACACACACCCAGATTGCTCAGTCACATGATGCAGCCGGGTCCCCTCCCTGCGCAGCAGCTGAGCTGAAGAGCTGTGCTGGACAGGGAGAGTGGGACGAAGTTGGGGGGAGTTCCTTGGTTTTTCCTTGTTCTTTCAATGGTTTGCATGCAGAGGGGCTTGGGACTCAGTTTCCCTGGGTGTTACTGGTTTAACGAGATGAGGGGAGAGGGAGTTTGTTGGTACAGAGGAAAAGTGACGGAACTTGGGACCCCAGCCAATGGCCTGGAGAATGGAGACCCCAGCGACTGGTGACCTGGTGACCCGGAGGCCCAGCTCGGGAGTCACAGCCGGTTCTGGCCAGTGGGAGGACAATGGGCTGTGAAGAGAGGACCCCGGTGACCTGACCAGCCAGTTCCAGCCAGAGGGGCCAGAGGACAGAAGAGAGGAGAGGAGGCCCAGGTGACCCTGTTTACCTGGAGAGAAGATAATGGACAGAGGCAGGACTTGGGGCCGGTGACATCAGATGCCCAGTTGGGAAGCAGGGGGGCTCTGGCCTGGAGAGGGGGAGCAGGCAGAGCCCACCTGGATGTAGGGGAGACTTGGATGTGCTGTGCTGAGGGAGGCCAGGCCTGAGGGCCCTGAGAGTTTCCTGGGTTCAGACACTCAAGAAACCCTCCTGTTTTATGCTGGCTGAGAGTCACTCCGGTCTAGAGAACAGGGTGGCATTATTCCCTCTGGGAGTGGAGGCCCCGGGAGTCCAGAGCGAGTGAATTCCCTGAGGGTCCCACGGCAGAGACAGGTGTGCTAAGGCTCAGGGAGGTGCAATTCCAGGAGGTGGAGGGACTTAACCCCCGAGAGAGAGTGGACCCCTGAGAAGAGCTGTTGCACTGAAGGGGGTTCCCCCGAGAGACCGTACGGGGCCAAGAGTGGGCATGACCTGGGAGTCCATGATAGAGAGGCAGAGGCAGGAGCAAAGGAACAGCTGGGAGCTTCACGGGGGGGTCACTGCTTTCCAGGACTGGGGGGGGTGATGTGACTCCAGCTGTTCTTGGATTGTGCCCCTCCACTGTCAGCAGGCCCAGGTCAACTCTGAGGAGTCCTGGCCCCCAACCCCACTCCCCTCCCAGAGCTGGGGAGAGAACCCAGGAGTCCTGTGACCCCGGCAGGTCGATTGGGAGGGGGGAGGAGCCATGTTCCTACCTGCTCGGTCTTGGTGTGGATCCTTTTCCTGCAGTGGGACACAAACCAGAATCCCCCATGAGCCGATCGGGATCCCCCGGTCCCAGCACCCGGCCACTCACCCCCCACAGGGCAGCAGGGATGGGAGGGTCTGGGGGGGTCCCTCTGCTGCTGGTGCTGAGCCTGGATCCCTGCTGGGCTGGGCCGGACCACCAGGGGGCAGCACAACACCACAGCATGCGCCGAGGGAGGGGCAGGGGGGGCTTTTCCTGTCCCCAGTCTGGTCTCGTTAATGACTCGTTATAATGAACCTGATCCATAGGTCAGCTTCCTTGGCATCCCAGGTACTTGAGAGGCATGGTGCGAATGGCTCTTTATACAGGGACCCCTGAACTGGTGCTGAGATGCAACCATCTCTGGGGTGGGGCAAGGGGACTGTTTATATGGGGACCCCTTAGCTAGCCCTGAGAAGTGACCCCTCGGGGGTAGGACAGCTGTGTGTACAGGGATTACCCATGCAGCAGAACCCCCTGCTGAGCCCCCACCCCACTCTTTGACTTTCCCAGCACAATCCCCCATCCAGGCCGTGACCCCATCCCGCCCTGCTTAGCGGCAGGTTTAACCCTTCCCTCGCTGGGCGGGGCACTTACTGGCTCGGGTTTTTCTGAAGCAGACGAAGGCCACGAGGAGGAGGAGGAGGGCAGCGGCTACCACACTCACCCCGATGATGATGGGGCTGGTCAGACCCAGAGGTGCCGGCGGTTCCGATCCGCCTGGGAAACAGCAGAGCCGTAAGTGCCAGGAGCAGCTGGTCTGTTCCCTCCCCCTCAGTCCCCCCATCCCAGGCAGCGCCCAAGGGGCTGGGACACCGCAGGGCGCAGGCAGCAGGAAATTCTATGGGGAGGATGTCGGGGGGGCCCAGAGAATCAAGTGGGGTCAGAGCCAGCAAGATTTGGGGGATTTGTAGCGCTAGGGGGCACTAGGCTGCAGGCAGGGGGCTCAGCAGGGGGCGCTCTCCCCATCAGTCAGGCCTGGCCTCGTTGCCCCAGCACGGCGCTAGGGGGCGCTGTCTGATCCAGCCTGTTCCATCATTTTTAAAGCATTTCACTAGGGTTACCATAGGTCCGGATTTTCACACACATGTCCGTCTTTTTGGTCCTCAAATCCCCGTCCGGGGGGAATTGCCAAAAAGCCGAACATGTCCAGGAAAATACTAGTCCCCGGCTTACCTTAGAGCGGCTCCGGCAGGCTGCGAGCTGCAGGCGGATTCCCCCGCGGCGGCGGCTACTGCTGCTACCCTCTGTGGTGAAGCGCTACCGGCTTCACGGTTTGCAGGGCAGCCCCCAGACCTCCAGACCCTGCGCCCCCGGCCGGGCTCCTCCCCAGCGCAGGCGGAGCCCAGGAGGGGAAACACTCAGCTGGGGACGCTGGGTCTGGGGGCTGCCCGGCAAACCGTGAAGCCGGTAGCGCTCGGGCAGCTGTTTCGCGTGGCTGGGAGAGAGGATGGGGAATGCGGGGCGCTCAGGGGAGGGGGCGGAGTTGGGGCGGGGACTTTGGGGAAGGGGCAGAGTTGGGGCGGGGCCGGAGCAGGGAAGAGGCGGGGCCAGGGCCCTATGGAGTGTCCTCTTTTTTTAATTTTTAAATATGGTAACCCCCTAATTTCACCCCCTTCCTCATGGTCGCACTGATTCAGGCCAACAGGCCCATCTAGCCCAGTATCCAGTCTCCCATTTTGGCTGCTCCTGGCTGCTTCGCAGGGAGCTCCAGGTTACTGCCTGGCTCCCCCCATGGCCACTGATGGGCCCAGCTGCCCCCAGAGGAAGCCTCCGGCTGCCCCCTAGGCAGCGGGTTCCTGTCTGAGAAGGAGGCTTCTCTCCCCTCCCAAATCCGTTAGCAGGAGGAGGGGGGAGTCACCGCCAGTGTGAACAGCCTCCATCCCCACCCCTGGGCAGCCACTGGGGAAAGCTGCCCCACAATCTGGGACTCAGTAGATTTCCCCCTCCCGACCCCGGGACCTGGCCCCACACTGCCAGGACGGGGGAGAACCGGCGTCGCTCCAGACTGGGTCAGGACGGTTCCCCCAGCATCTGGCAGGGTGGGGGAAGGGACTAAAACACTGACTCAGAGATCGCCCCCCACACTCCGTGACCAGTGGTGGATCAGCCACTGGGCCTAGGGGGCCCATACCCAGGAGCCCTGGAGTCCCGGCCGCCCGGCGAACAGCACAGGACAAGGCCCAGAACCCCGACCCTGGTCCCCTGCAGAAGCACAGGGGCAGGCAGGGGAAGCCTTAGTACCGGGATCTCCACTGGGAAGAGAGGAGCTCTCCCTGCCTGCCGCGACCTCAGGGCTGGGGGAGCTCTCACTCCCTGCTGCGCCCTGGGGCCGGGGCATGGGGACAGAGCTTCTCCGGTCTTGGGGCCACTTTTGGAAACTGCGACGTGCTCCCATCACACAGAGTCTGTGGCCACGCCAGGAGCTGGGCCAGATCTCCTGGGTCCCAGCCCAGCGCCGTTTCCACCAAGCCACTACAGCCCCTGCCTCATTCAGCCCCGGTCGGGGCACTGCCTGGGGCGGGGCCTGGAGAACAGTGCGGGAGGGGATCTCGGGATTAAATAGCGACTCACGGTTCGTATGCACAAGGGGCAGCGTTAAAGTCGCCTCCCTGCGCCGAGTCTCCAGGGGCTGCTGCTCCCCCCTGGCTGGGGAACCCCCAGTGACTCCATCCCCGCTCCCTGGCCGGGCGTCCCCTCTGCGGGGTCAGGGCTCAGGGCAGAGCCTGGCTCTGAGCGTCCCATTGGCACCAAGCCCCAGGGAAAGTCTGGCTGGGAATGGGGCTGGGAACGGGGACACCAAGCCGGGCCTCTCACCTCTCACAACCAGCTCCACGGGGTCGCTGGGGTACGACACGGCAAACGGCTCCGATCTGCTGTGATAATAGCAGCTGTAGCTCCCGCTCTGCTCCCGGCTCACATTGCTGATGGAAAACACAGCCTCAGACCCGTCCGAATCCACAGGTGGGAAATGGCGTCGCTCTTTATTCAGCACGAACCGCATGCCCCGGTGCTGCCCCAGACACCAGACAGTCACGGCTCCCCCCAGGGAGACCCCCCCGCTGGGGCTCAGGGAGATGCTGGGTTTGGGGTAGCTGGGCTCTGCAGTGGGAAGCAGACAGGCCGTGAGACGCAGGCCCCGTCACTCAGTCCTGGGGTCCGTCCTCACCACATGGCCTCAGTGGTGGGTCAGACCCAGCAGCCCTGGAGACGGGCTCCTGGATGCCTTTCCACAGGGGCCAGAGTTTCCTCTGAGCCCTGGGCTAACAGCATGAGACACGGAGCAACCCCAGCCCCTGGGGGCCCAGAGCTCTGCTCCCTAGCGGGTGACAGGCCAGTCTCCATTGTCCATTCACTCCCTGGCTTCTCTGTTGTGAGAGCTGGGAGCCAGGACTCCTGGGTTCTCTCCCTGGCTCTAGGAGGGGAGTGGGGTCTAGTGGGGAGAGCAGGGAGGATGGGGACAAAGACTCCTGGGTTCTGTGCACAGCACCACCCCTGACTTGTAGGGGACAGTGCAAGTCTCTACTATACACTGAGGTTTATAACCTTCAGCTCCGCCCATCACCCCCTAACTAATGTGTTGTCTGGGAAAGGCCCCCCCTGCTCTGCAGCTCCCCCTCGGGGCAGGGATCCCCCCTTCCTCTGTTCCAAATCCCCTGGTTGGGGATCCCCCAGTGACTCTGTCCCCGCTCCACGGCCGGACGTCCCCTCTGCTGGGCCCAGGGCTCAGGGCAGAGCCTGGCTCTGAGCGTCCCATCAGTGCAGAGACCCTAGTAGCAAAGCTAGCGGGGTGGAGGGGAAGCAGCCGCTTCCCCCCACCTTTCCAAAACCAGCCAGAGGAGCGGGGCGGGGGGCGTGTCATGTGATCCACAGGGTGGCCTGGCAGCTGCGGCTGGAGGAGCAGGTGGGGCGCAGGCTGGTGGCCCGCAGCGCGGCTGGCAGCCATGGGGGGGCAGCGGGCGCAGCAGGAGGAGCAAGGGGGGCGCAGCATGGCCGCCGGCAGCCGCAGCCGGAGGAGTGGAGGGGGGCGCAGGCTGGCGGCCCACAGCGGGGCCGGCAGCCGAGTGGGGGGGCGGCGGGCGCAGGCAGGAGGAGCAAGGGGGGCGCAGCATGGCC